CTTCGTATGCATGACTTTAATTGGTGTTAAGTCGAAATACGGTTGTTGTACCGGAAGGTGCAGCGGATGTATAAAAATTAACAATAAAAAGGGCATTAATTTGCCCCATTAACTTAGTATATGGCATTAATATTTCTTAAAAAAAATAAAATTTATTATTTGGTTCAAATCCAAACCTAAGTTACTTAAAAGTTACTTTTTATTTAATATAGTAAACTAGAATGATTGTTTATTGGTTCAGGTTTAAATTAATAAAAATTTATTAAATGCCAGCTTTATCTACTATTCTTTAAGTAAATTTATATTTAATGTTTAGTTTCCGCCCGCGCGGAGCGCGTAGGAAACACCCCCGGAGGGGGGTGTTTCTAAAACTAAAATATTATTAGTGTTATATCTAAATAAATATAATGTTAAATTTTGTAGATTTAATTTTACTTTTAGCCATTTTATTAATTTATAGTATTTAGTTATTAAATCTAAATGTTTAATTTATTTATTACTTTTTTTTTAACACTAAAAGGTCACTATTTTCTATTTAATTAATAATAGTTTTAGTTATTTATATATTTATCTAGGCTCCTTTACTATTATAAAAAAAAAATTTTTTTTTGCTTAGCCAAAGGTTTAAGGAAGATTCCATATGTTGGTTAATGGGTTGAGCTGTAAACTCAATAGTCTTTGACTACCGAAGGTTCGATTCCTTTTCTTCCTAGCTCCAAAGGGCCTATGCCTAACTACTTTTGGTAAGCTTTTTTTATTTATTTTTATTTTTTTTTTTCAGATAACATACTACAATGTTAGTTTCTGAGTTCAGTTTATTTTTTTTTTTATTATGTTATTAGTTAATGATTTATTAAATAGTGGGCTAAATTATGAGTTTTTAGATATTCTTTTTTTTATCTCTATTTTATTAAGTATTTTTATACTTGTTAGTAAAAATCCTGTTTTAAAGTTTGAAGAACTTTATTTTAAGCTAGATATTTATGATGCTAGGGATGGGATTATAAATTATCAAACTCCGGAAAATTCCTTAAAGCTTAGAGTACCAAATTGTAAAAGTAAATTACTTACTATGGTTTAATAAATTATAAAGTGGGTAAAAATCTCTAAGATTCTCTAAAGAGTAATAGGTTATCGCGGATCTAAGTTAATAACTGCTTTAATTTAAAGCATTTATTGTAAAAGAGCAACGAGTATATGGTAATTGATATGACAAATAGTCATATTTAAGATGTATTCTTTTTTTAATTAAAGATTATATTTACTAATATTTTATTAGTAAATATAATTACAATGATCTTTTCTGTTTTATTTTTAATAGGGTTATTTCTTTCTATATCTTTATACTTATTATCTATAGGTTTAAGCTTTTTAGGTCTTTCTTATTTAGTTGTTTATGTTGGAGCCATATCTATTATATTTTTATTTATTCTTATGCTTATTAATATAAGAATTTCTGAGTTACAAACAAACAATCTTAATTATTTACCTTTAGCATTTTTTAGTGTAACAATTTTACTAGTTATTTTAACAGATCTTATTCCATATTATAAAAATAAAGGTATAAATTATGTAACAAGTTATGGTTGAGATAATAATTTAATAAACAATGATCAAATAAGTAGTATAGGTAATGTTATGTATTCTAACTATGCTATTTGATTAATAATAGTTGCTATTATACTTTTATTATCTATGATTGGTAGTATTGTTATAACTATAAAAGGAGGAAATTCAAAATAAAGCCTATATCTATGTTGAAAAACACTAAATAGATAGTTTTATATAAAAACACTTTTAATCTATTTAATTTTTTTTTTTTATCCTAAGTATACTTTATATATACTTACTTTATTTAAACCTTATTCACACAGAATCTAAAAAAAAATTTTTTTTTTTAAATTAGTTTTGTAATTTATAATAAAAAGGTTTTTTAATTTATTTTTAAGGGTTAAATTTTATATAATAAACTTGTTTTTTTTTTTTTTTTTTTACAATGAATTTACAATTACAAAAACAAATGCAATATCACCCCTTTCACGTTGTTGATCCATCACCATGACCACTAACAACAAGTATAGCATTATTTGTTCTTACTACAGTTACTGTATTGAATATGCACGGATTTAATAATGCAGGCTTTTTATTATTTATAGCTTTTTTCAATTTAGTGTTTTCTATGTCTTTATGATTTAGAGATGTAATTGCTGAAGGTATATATGTATGTGCCTTGACCAATTTAACTATATGCTACCAAATTTAGTTTTTAAATTATTAGCAGGAAAATCCTCAGAGACTATAAGTTAAAATTATAAGAAATAGTCCAAACATATTATATTATGTATAATTGACATACTTAGGTTGCCATACAAATGCTGTTCAAAAAGGTATTAATATTGGTGTAGGTCTGTTTATAATATCAGAAGCTTTATTCTTTTTAGCCATTTTTTGAAGTTTCTTTCATAGTGCACTATCACCTAATGTAGAATTAGGTGCATCTTGACCACCAATGGGTATACAAAGTATAAATCCTTTTGAAATTTTCACCCTAGCGGTGCAGGTATAGAAGGGCTTATCATTGATAAGTAAAAGGGTTAAATGCGGGAAGGAAAAAATTTTTTTTTAATCCGCAGGTTATTTTATACCTCAACGATCACCCACCCTTATATAAATAATTAATCTATCTCAACCCTAGTATTTTTGGTCTTTAAAATCTCTAGGAATAGAGATTCTATTAATATAGAAGATTAACAAATTTTATATGAGATATGATCTAATATAAACCACAAATATTGTTATATTGTACTTTGTTAGTTTTATTTTCTTCCTGTATATATCTTGGTGCTAGAATTATAAAAACCAAAGGATATAATAAAAGTGGTTTACCTATAATTAATGAAGATCACTATGAGATCCTTTATGGTTTAATCTTAGGTGATTTATATATCTCTAGAAAAGGGAATGAAAATGCCTATATTAGATTTGAACAATCTATTATTCATAAAGAATATCTTGAACATTTATTTAGTATATTTAAATACTTATGTACTCGTACAGCAAGTATTAAAGTAGCTATAAGAAAGGTTTTTAATACTTCTTCTGTTTATTTCACTACTCGTCAATTGGTATCTATTACTCAACTCCACAATTTGTTTTATAAAGATGGTAAGAAAATAGTGCCATTTAACATAGCCAGTTTATTAACAGCTAAAAGCTTAGCTTATTGAGCTATGGATGATGGAAATAATCATGGTTCAGGTTTTATTCTTAATACTAGTGGGTTTACAATTGCTGATTTAGGTTTATTACAGGCCGCATTATTAGATAATTGAGGATTAGAAACTTCAATTCATTCTAGAAATAGAATTTATATAAAGGCTAGTTCTAAAAAACACTTTATAGAATTAGTGCGTCCACATTTTTATTCTTCAATGCTATATAAATTAAGTTAATTATTTTATTGTTCGAATTACCTTTACTAAATACAATACTTTTATTATCATCAGGTGTATCAATAACATGAGCACATCATAGCTTAATAGAAGG